ACCTATTGCAATAAAACGGCAATTTCATACTTTAACCCCTAATATTACACATATTTTATTCCCAAACAAATATTGCGAGGATTGTTTCCAGACATTATTTGCCACGTAAGTACAAAGGTTAATATTATTTTTATTTAGCCTTACAAGAATATCGTTAAGGCTTATCATTGTTCTATAACAAAGAATTTGACCTATTGCAAAATCAAACAAAGGAGTCAGATAGCATTTTTCCGATTCACTGGGTGAGACGTAATAAACTGATAAGCGTTCTTCAGGTTCTGCGGGAACAAGAGTCGTTAGAGAATAAAGAAATTTCCTTTACCATTTTAGATTTTGTATGAAAGAAACGTATCATAAAAAACGATATATAAAGACTAAAATACTCTTCGTACCTTACGGAAGTAAATTCTAGGTTCACGGGTGTTTACTGTCAATTATTTCTATAAAATGATTTTCAATAAACTCATTTTTCGCCTGGAAGGCTTTTTTATTCATAATTTTTAACAAGGCCTTTAACACTGTACTACATGGTGTTTATCTTTTTTAGGCCTCATAGAGAATCACACGGAGCTCCTTGTGCAAGAGTTCGTCCAGGGAAGTACTAATGTAAGCATGACTGCGTTTCGGTTCTGAAGGGTAAGGGTGCTGGTGAAATTACAGGCACTTGGGACTTGTCAACTTCCCAGGGCGACAGTCGCTGTGTCAGTGTCCCTCTGATCTTTGTGATTTAAAGCTCTGAGCGACACTATAGCTGTTATAGACAGACGTGTCGCTTGCCACAACAGCTGCAGTGCCGCTCAATTTTAAATCGCAAAGATCTGAGGCCACGCGCATGACTTGTTCGTCATACTTAACATAAAACATCGCTGCTAAAACGAAGCTTTTAAACATTTTATCAATTCATAAGTAGTAACGCATATTTACATAACAAATTACTTCTTGCCTTTGAAAATATGTAATTATTTTACAGAAAATTGGGTGACAAAGGTTAGAAATTTTATATATAAATTCACCTTTAATGTTGTAAATAACAGCCATTATCTTCGAGCAAGGTTATTTAATTTCGACGATAAGAAAGCGATTTCTGTTACTTTATTGAGTTACGGAAGTTTGAAACGACTTAGACGTTTTATAATGTTATAGAAATCTTGTCCAAGTTGTTTTGATCTCATACAATATAGGAAAAGCATATTATAAGACAATAAAGATGGCAATATCCTACCAGTTATTTATACTTTGTTTATGATAGCGCTCTTAAAAATATGATTATCATAATCGCCATACTAATATTTATATTATTATATTTATATTTATATTATATAATTATAATTATTGTAATATTTAATTATTAAATATAACGCAACACACTCATAGCCCCGCACTAGGGAAACCCTGAGTCGCGGATGCCATGGACACACACGCATAGACAACCACAAATGACACCCAAACTCAGGGGAGAAATAAATGTAGGCCATACACGTATTTCTCCCAGCCTCGGAATCGAACCCAGGACCTCTGTCTCGCCTCTGCGTGGCGGTCCGGCATGGTAAACTTTCGGCCACAGTGGCAGTTAAAATTAAGCCGGGTACTCACTCGCAAGCTGTAACCGTGAACGTTGTATGTTGTGTAACTAAAAATCATAGTGTGTACGTTGTTCCCGAGCTTGCCGCGAGTGGAATTGCGTGTGGGATTCGCAGTGTGCTGACGAAAACCTAGGGCTCTATTCCCGTTCTCAACAATTACTGGCAAATAAATAATATTCGACCTAAATTAAAACACTCGTGATACGAATGAAGCTTCATACTTGACATTGTCTTTTGTTTTGGTCGGATATTTCTTATTTGACAGTTGTTTCGGACGGAATGTCGAACGAAAACGAGAGTAGTAGAAGATATTTGAAAACATACAAACAGCCGAACGTGCAACCTCCTCCTTTTTTTTGAAGTGGATTAAAAATCCATTACTGTCCACTTCTCTAAACTTCTAAATCTAGTAAACAGGCAAAAGAAAAACTCATACAGCCAAATGCCCAGTGTTCATAGTTGCGAGAATTAAAAATACCTACCTTGTACAGCTTACTTAAATTTACATTTGAAATGGTGTATTAGTTACATTCTTTTGTTT